GCATCGCGAAAATCCGAGCTACTCGCACGCAAAGTTGGCAAAATTGCTAAAAGTTGCCAAATCAACCGTTACAAATATAATTAAAGTGTTTGGGGAACGTTTGTCGACAGCCAGGAAGTCTGGATCGAGGGGAAATCGAAAACCGGAAGCCGCTGAGACGACAAAGAGAGTTGCCGGTAGTTTCAAGCGAAACCCTAACCTCTCTCTCCGAGATGCCGCAAATAAGCTGGGTGTATCGTCTACAACCGTGCATCGAGCCAAAAAACGAGCCGGACTATCGACTTACAAGAAGGTAGTGACTCCAAATCGCGATGATAAACAAAATACGACGGCCAAAGCGCGATCCCGGAGGCTGTACACGACGATGCTGACGAAGTTTGACTGCGTGGTAATGGACGACGAAACCTACGTCAAAGCCGACTACAAGCAGCTTCCGGGCCAGGAGTTTTATACGGCAAAAGGAAGGGGAAAGGTAGCAGATGTTTTCAAGCACATGAAACTGTCAAAGTTCGCAAAGAAATATCTGGTTTGGCAAGCCATCTGTACCTGTGGCTTGAAAAGCAGCATTTTCATAGTTTCCGGGACTTTCAACCAAGAAATTTACGTGAAAGAGTGTTTGAATAAACGTCTGCTGCCTTTCCTGAAGAAACACGGTTGTTTCGTACTGTTTTGGCCGGATTTGGCATCTTGCCATTACGGTAAAAAGGCCATGGAGTGGTACGCCGCCAACAACGTGCAGGTGGTTCCCAAGGACAAGAACCCTCCCAACACGCCAGAGCTCCGCCCAATTGAGAAATACTGGGCTATTGTCAAGCGGAACCTAAAGAAGACCAAAAAAACTGCTAAGGGCGAGCAGCAGTTCAAGGCAAACTGGCTTTCTGCGGCGAAGAAGGTGGACAAGGTGGCTGTACAAAATCTGATGGCAGGGATCAAGCGTAAGGCCCGGCAATTCGGATTTGGAAAAGCGGAAGCCTAACTGAATATTTTTCCTGAATTTTATACTAATTGAACTTGAAAAAGAAATTTAATTTAATTTTTTAAATAAACGATTTCACCGATTTACACGCGTTTTCCCTTGACCAAATTTTGACCGTATCACCCTTTAGCATTGATTAAAACATACAATTCAAAAGCAGTGCATTTTACAATTAGTTGAATATAATCGAAAAAATTATAAGAGTACCAGGAAATCTGATTTGGTGTAGCTAATAAGGAAATATATGGCAAAGTATAAAACAAGTTGTAGTAATATTTAATTTGAGAACCACTGTCGATCCATATCAATCCACACCAAACATCAACAACCAGTCGTAAAGGCCATCCGCCTCAAAAATGCATTGTAACCGAAATTAGGAAATTATTCAATTGCAACCATATGTGACACTGCAATACCACACACCGATAAGCGCTATTTTCCTTCTCCTCTTTTCGCCCCGCGTGTGGCCGTACCGACGGGCATTCCAACGGGTGGCGTCAAATTGCACAACTCAATAGATCCATAGTCCACCAAAATTCTGACACAGCAGTCAAGAACCTTTTTGCCGATAGTCACTCCAGATGTCTCGCTCACTCATATACAAAGCATAGGTTAAGACCAAAATTTAAAAACATATATAAATGAATAATTCTTTTGAATAAAGACAATCTTTGCCTGAGAGCTGACTCTGACAGTCTTTCGGTCCGAACAGGAGGTTACTTTTCGAAGCCCTCAATGGTTCGGTTACCGATCTGAACTAAAAGAAAGCCTTCTCCAACTCAAAGCGTGCGGCGCCCAACGCAAAGTATTTTTTCATCTTTTCAGGCAAATGTTCCTCTTGTGTAAAATTCATGATTCCCAAAAAAAACAGATTAACGCAATTCAAGATATTTTTACAATTGATTTCAGGACTTTCTGATGAAAAGTTGTGGTTTTTCATATATTTTTGAATTTTTGGACCACCCTAATGAAGAATAATTGGACCACCCTAGTGAATTATTTCGTATTAGATCCTAAATGGTGGTTTAATTCGATATATAAGCAGGTTGGAGACAATTGTGAACAGTTTTAGAAGCCGACTCATCAATCTTCTATATTCCATATAGAACTCATGAAAAAATTCTAAGTCCCAGAAAGTCGATTTTTGAAAAAAAAATTTTTTTTCGAGATAACACCAAATCTCGACGTTTCATGCATTTTTAAGACATTTGGCATACAATTTTTTTTTTGATTTCCCCTTGGGAGATTTTCGAGAGTGAAAAAAGTCAATCTTTGACGCGTTTGCTCCACCCCTAAATCATGTCCGATTGAGCTCAAATTTTGCATAGGGTCATTTTTCGAGGCAATAAACATTTTGTATATGGTTTGTTAGCGAAATTAAAAACCACCATTTTCGCTGGCAGTCTAGGGTACACTTTTTGAAAACCGAAAAAGGAACATGTAACAAAATTATGAAAGATTTTGAACGTTAATAACTCTGCTGCCCCTGGACCAATTTCAATAATTTTATCACCAATCGATCAGAAATATTCCTACGCAACTGTTCAGTTAAGGACTTCATCGTTTTTCAAAAATTTGACCATTAAAAATTGAATGAATGTGTAACTGTTGCTATGATAATTTAATTTATCACCAATTGCCTGCGAAAAGCAATTTCCCTAACACAGATTTCAAAGTTGAATTCCATCCAGTCTCACCAAACAAAGCGTCTCTGGTTAATTGACATGGTCATGTGGTATTCGGTCATTGCGAGAATTTGTATGTACCACTTCAATACTGTTACGCATTTGACGACAAACTTTTGGTTACTGGGTACATTATCTAAGAGCTTTGGGGGTTATGTGGCTGGCAGAAAGGCGAGCGAACGTGCAGTGAAAATTTACTCTTAAACAACAATAATTTATGGTGATCCTAAAAAGGACCGTTTCGTTGGTTGAGTAATGCTAAGCTAGTAGGGTGTTCAACGCGATTGAGGCTGGCGAGCTGTACGTTGTTTGGAGCAAGGGTGATGCGCATGGCATAGATGACCCGCAGCGACTCACGAATAAACTGATTCCGATCCATAACGGTGCGGTTTCTTCCTCCTTTAATAGATGCTCATGTGGGCTCTGCAGCTCGCTGCTTTGCAGGCTGCCTTTCATTGTGTAGTGGAGAACAATGTTCAAAGCCACACGTCGAAGGCACTGCTGCTGACACCGACGACCGGACACCACCACACGCGGTAATTGAATGAGCACCGTTCAGGGAGATCGCATGGAATTTGATATTTAAATCTGTGTTAGAGAAATCGCTTTTTGAAGGCAATCGTTGATAATTTTGATCACCATTGCAACAGTTGGACATTTGTGTATTTTTCAATAGTGACCTATTGAAACTTAATAAAGTGTTCATTTCAGCAGATTTGTAGATAAATTTCCAATCGTTTGGCTGGTTTAGAACTAAAATCCATCTGCTATTGACAGAGTTATATGTGGTGAAAACCTGACCTCTTTTCGTAATGCGGTCGATTTTGGTTTTTTAAATTGCACCCCCAATATGTTGCCCAAAAACGTAATCCTACGTCAAAAAATTTGGTGAAATCACCGTTTAAATTTTGGTTGCTGAAAACCAGTCCAGTGGCAGGCAACATGTTATACCGTGACAGCGGGCCCAGCATAGCAAAATAAATGATTTGAGCCTGAAACATGCTGCCTACTGTCAAACGCTGCTGTTGGTATCGGCCTTGTCATTGGCCTTCTGAAAACAGTCAATGGGTCCCGAGGCCGTCATTTACTCTACTGGGTACATGATTTCTATAGATGGAGGTGATGTAATGTAATGTAATTTTTTTGTTTGTAGATCAATTCATTTGTACAGGCTCAATCGAATAAACTTAACAGAGCTAAATTATAATTTGCGTTATACATTATTAATGTCTTAAATCTAAAATTAAAATCTAAAGTTAAAGGAATTGAACCGAGGACTCGCGGTCGTCTCGAGGTTAGTAGAGATTTAAACTTTCATAGATGAGGGGAGGGAGAAGGAGGTTTGAAATATGATTTACGATACAAATATTTCATAGTTACTAAAACGTGAACTCATTCCTATTCAACTTGAATGTATAAAAAATCGACTGCATCATTTTCCCCTGTAATAAATTTTCACAAAATGCTAGAAATATAGCAAAACACGCAGTTCTTCGTCTTCCTGCTCTATAATTTCTCCATCACCGACGGCGATCCTCCTCATTCATTCTCTCGACCACAGTTAATGAAAATTTATTACCCGTTAGCAATCGGCCACACATTTTCCATTCACTCGCATATGTGCTTGTAAGATAAGGCATTCAATTTTCTCAACTTTCAGCACCCACTCAAGCGCGAGTGTATGAAGAACCATTACCAAATTCAATCGCCTTCCGCTTCCATTTGAATATTTCGGAAATAAATTCGATCCTCACCGCACACCGCCCGGCGGCGCCAGACGCATAGATCTACACTGCGTCAGACCCGAGACCAGACCACTCTCCGGCCCAAGCGAACCGACTGGCCTTGACATAGGCGGAAAAATTTCATAATTCTTCCATTTCAGACCCATCCCATCCCGCTTCAATTCCAAAAGAACACAGCTGTGACCCAAAACGATTCCCAACGTACGTGACTCATCTGCATCGACGGCGGTGGCGGCATTGAGGCCCGTTTATGAATGAAGCAGAAAACTTCACCCATATTCAAAATCTTTATGGTGGGAACGGCTAAATTGAAAAATAAATTTTATTACCACCACGGGAATTGTTTGTGGGGGGTGGGGGTTAGTGGCTTCGGTTTATGGGTTCTATAAATTCATCTGGCAAAATAGAATTGGTTACGGTGCGATGACAGAGGCGACTTGAAAGCTCTAATTTTGAAAATCACTTTTTCCCTGAAGAAGGAATTCCTAAGAAAGAACATAATTCCCCACTTTAAATCATGTCGACGATAGTGACAACTACTTACCAAATCCACATACTTATAACATATTGTCTCCCTCATTTCCTTCCTAACAGGTGGTTCTACGGAATACCCTGGCTGTGGCTGCTGTTGAGCTGTTGGCAACCGTCGGTAACGGCATCGGAGCTGGGTCTGTTTGGTGGTCAGGGGATCAGAGGTAAGCATCACCGCTATCACTAGTCCTATGTATGTTTTGCAGTGTGTCACTAATCTTTTGAATTGAAAAAGGTGGTGCGGGGCGAGGGGTGGAAAGAGATCCAACATATCCTGCCAACCGCATGGCTTCGGGATAATGCCTCAATTTTCCCACCGTCAAGTAGCATGTGCTGTGCGTTGTCGGAACATAGGGCGATGATGGGTGCAAACACATCTTGTCGAGGACCATTATGCTGCCGGCGATGATGGGGAGAGTTTTGCGACAATGGTTTTCCAGACGTTCAACGACGCTGTTGAAGGAAGCTCATCAGATGCACAAAACTCACACTGTGTGTGTTGGCATGAGAATAGCGAGATAATCGTAAAAGAGTCACTTGTGATGCACCCCATCCCGACCCTTGTTCGGCGCCATCGACGGATGTGCATTTCTTCGACGCCCTCGTCGGAATGCTCATGGGAGCTACTTGTGTCTGCAGGAGTCAAAGCGAAAATGGAAAGAATGAGTCGGGAAAGTGACTGGGTGTAAGGATGAGTGAACATTGTCGACGCTTCTGAACCGTCTGTTGATGCTGGAAGTCGATCCTCTCATGAATCTGAACCCATCCACCGTTGGCAACCTGCTGTCTCCCAAGAGAAAGGGAATCACTAATGATGCTTTACATTGGGATTAGCGTCGGCGACGATGACAGCGACTGACTCTAGGAAGTGACAATTAAGTGCTGCTATTAGCAAATGAAAAATGCAACAGCGTGGAAATTGAAGTTGCATGTGGGATGATGACGAAAGGATTTTTTGCACTTTAGGAATAGAATAGGATCACTCACGCTCGCAGACAGGCTTTTGATCAACGCTTTCCCCCCGGTTTGATAATAATCAAGAAAAGCCATTACAAATGGCAGACTTTGCTGCATTTTCAGCAATTTGTTACCTTGACACTCTTAAGCCCCTAAGGTATCACACTTGCTTGCATGATGTGGTCTTTCTTTGAGATTTCTCCTCGAAGAAGCCGGCACATATATCAGAACATTCGCCAAACAGACACAATCAACTTACCTATGTATGTCTTCTTGTTTGAATGGATTCCCACTTCTTCCTGAGAAAGCTAACTTCCGATGAGCTACCGGGGTGTGGTGGTTAGAAAAACGGAAAACACTTTGCATATGTTTATGCAAAAATCCGAGAAACCGAGAATCCTAACGAGCCAACATTGTTGTAATGTCCCCATGCTATCCAATCAGATGAGACACGGATCAGTCTAATGAAAGTTTGAGTGCAGATTCCCAGGTGGGATGCTTCGATGGGGCTTTTACGTGGTTGTTACATTCTCACAAATAGTAACCCCTCCATAAATGGCGGTGAGTGGCACCGTTCACCTACTGCTATTTCTCGGCTATCCTTCTAAGGCCTGTACTAGAAAAAAATGCACCAGACAAAAGTGTTCGCCAAAAAATTATTTTAAGTCGGATTTTCTTGCAAACTTTCAGGGAATGAACTAATGCATATGGATTGTGTTTCGGCATAATTACTTTATTTAATTTCCTTTCCATCGCTGAAAGCCCGCACCTTTCCCTTAAGACCCCTCATTACATTTTGTGCAATGGTGAAGCCGACCTTTTTGGTCACTTTCATCCATTCTTTCTTCAACTCCAGCTCGTTCTTAAACACCTTGGACGATTTTGGAACTTTGGTCTTCATTATGGCCCAAAATCTTTCCACCGGACGAATCTCTGGTGAATTTGGGGGGTTGACGGGTTTTGGTACAAAAGCAACGTTATTGTCTCTATACCAATCCAACGTCAATCGCGCGTAATGGTATGATGCCAGGTCCGGCCAAAATAATGTCTCGCCTCCGTGGGACCGCAGGAAGAGCAACAGACGCTTCTGGAGGCACTCGGTGCGGTAAATTTCGCTGTTGATGGTACCCATTGTGATGTACGGTTTACTCAGTTTAGCGCATTGGCATATGGCCTGCCAGAGCAAGTATTTTTTGGAGAATTTGTCCACTTTCTTCTTCCTTATGTCTTCCGGAACATCAAACTGTGATTTGGCAACGTAGAACTCCAGCCCGGGTATCTGCTTTGCGTCTGCCTTGATGTAGGTTTCGTCATCCATAACCACACACATCGGTTTCGTTAACCACCCTCGATACAGCTTCCTTGCGCGGGATTTGGCCGCCGTGTTTTGTTGATCACGCCGGTTCGGTGCCTTCCGGACTTTGTATACACGAAACCCAGCTCGTTTCATGGTTTGCTGAACGAACCAGGCGGAACACTTTGCCTTCAGAGCCGCGTCGCGAATCGAAAGGTTCGGATTACGCTTGAAATACACCTTCCGGGCCTTCACAGGGTCAGCTGTCTTCGATTTTCTTCCACTTCCAGCCCGCCTCTCGGTCGTCTGGGACTCCCTAAACGATTTTACCACCCGAGACACAGTTGTATGGGTGATTCCCAGTTGTCTTCCGATCCATTTCATGGTCGTAGTCGGATTTTCCATGACGGCGCGCAAAATTATCCGGCGATTTTCTTCTTGTTTCGATGACATCTCAATAACGACTGAACCGATTGTTATGAAATGTTGCACTTGTAAACAATTCACTCGACACTAGTTATACTCAGATTTTCATCAATTTTTACCCACGGAAAAAAAGTTACACACGGATAAAAATGGTGCATTTTTTTCGAGCACAAGCCTTACCAATTGAGCTGACTTTCTGTAGATAACTAATCACCTAAAAAAAATCATCATAATTGGTTGAAGGACAGTCGAGAAACCGCGGTAGGTTAACGGTACCACCCACCGCATATTCGGAAGGGTTCCTGTATGCATGGATCGGTAGGAGAGATTCCCTCCTCTCGTGTGACGATTACTTATGGATCCAGTCGTTGCGAAAGTGATGACGGTAGACACATCCCGTTCTATATCAGTGCCATATTGTGTAATGGTGCATATTCTAGTAATCGATTTTAATGATGAATGTGAGGTGTTGATTTTCATGTGTCGTTGAAGATTTAAAGGATTTGAGGAAGATAATATGGCCAATGTGTGATGGAATCGTGCATGATATACAATGCCTGGTTGAACAATCATAGACAAGATAAATCTCAGCCCGTGCCCTTTTAGTCGTATGAACTTTCCCAACAAATCCTCTTAAAATTACTGAATCACTAGTCTACAGGACTTATTGAATGGATTCCCACTTCTTCCTGACCTACCGGGGTTATCTTACCTTTACCTTTGCAAGCCTCCAGAGCTGGCCTATCAAGTATTTTTACCCTTCTTACAGAAGGGTTTCAATATCGCTCGTTCGTTATATCGAAGTTACCATAACTTGTGTGTGTAACGAAATAAAAACCGGGGTTTTTCTTAGCAACCACTGCACCAAATTTCGCCAATGCACCAAATAATACAAACCAGACGTCAAGCGAAAGGTTCAGTCAGGAATCCTTATTGCCGGGGTAACGGGAGCGTGAAGAATGAACTGCGAACAGGGATGGGAAATCATTTACATTCATTTGCCTCTAACTTTTTTCATCAACAGAGTTTCGTCAAATAGTGTGTGTAGCTTTTGTAGGCTTTGATATTAACTACATCTTTTGTAAACAACTCAAATCTGTATCTCTTATGCATGATGAATCAGAGCGATAAGAACCCACCATTGTTTTTCAGTGAATGTAAATTGCATTCACTGAAAAACAATAACATATTATGCCAGCTCTACTTCGACATGCATAAGAGATTCAGATTTTAGTTACAAACAAAACCCAAGCAACACCATTTGTTTCTCAGCGAGTAACAACAACCTTAGTGTGACTAATAGACGGTCTAAATTATGGACAACGCACCGCATATAAAACATCATTGTACCTTAAAAAGCGCAGAAGGTGGAGTCTCTGTGGCATAAGGTACATGTAACATGATATTTAAATGACACAAGTTGCAAATGAGGTTTTAACTGACATAGCTGCAATGTTTCACTGAAATATTTAAAACAGTACTGTGATGTTTTCGAATACATGTAATATGTAAATGACATTCAAGTTAACCACATAAATGTATTGGATATTTTTGTGAGGTGATGCGGAAAAATCAGACTGATGTTTTTATTTAGACTGCAAAATCAGAGATGACAATCGTAGAAAAAGTCAGTGTTCACTCGGCTGTCGACAAAAGCAGGCAACTCTCGATGTGTGCTACGCAGCGAATCCAAACATATAAAGCAACCAACAATACAGACAAAACGGTTGCTACGACTACCATGACAAACTCGCTCTATAACATAGCTCGATCCGAGTGGTAAAAGGATAATGATATATTGCTTGCCTGCTTTGTTGCAATATACACGGATGAGGACATAGCTTAATATGAATCGAGAAAAGACATAACAAAAAAAATCCCTTTAACACACGTGTATCATCTTCGGCTCTACTTCGTGAAGCAGTTTGCCAACAATTTGCTCGTTTCTTTCTACCGCCCCGAGTGAGTTGTGTCGCACGGACTGCTTGTCATGAAAAAGAACGAAGAAGATTATATCATTATTGCTCTGAACTTCTGACATAGCGTTATTATTCGGTTCGTTGATCGCTTGTCATTTTGTCATTTGGAGATATTTTTGATTCCTTGGTGCTACGCGATCGTCTGTTTTCTCGACAGCAACCATTGTGTGGTCCTCCTCATAGTTCTTCATCAGCAGTTCTTTCGGTCGATGCGTCGTTGACTTTGGAAAGCAACCGTTTCGTGATGAGTGTGTGAGTGCTGTCCACGTTTTGCGTCCATTGTTGCAATGGACGCGCTCTGACCCTCGTTGGCGTACAACAATTTGCCATACAATGAAACTACTGGAAGCGGCTCCAGTTCTGATGGAGGAGGCTTTTTGGATAGCGGAAGATAAAGTGTTTATTGTGTTATACCTTTTGACTATAGTTTTATGATGTATTGTATAGTGACCAAGAATCCTCGGCTCTGTAAAGTTAATTCGGTTGAGCCTTATCAAATAAATTAATA